CGAGGACCGAAACCGCTCACCCGACAGGGGAGGCCGTGGTGGAGGACGAGACTCAGGACGAGACTCAGGACGAGACTCGGGTCAGAGGGGTGCCAACGGCTCAACGACCGGCGAGGGCGTGACGACCGTCGCCAAGGCCGCCCTGCTTCACCGCGGGCCGGCAGAGATGATGGCTACGTCCGTGACCGCGGCTACCAGGAACCGCAATACCCACCGCGCGGCCGTTCTCGTACACCGCCAAGCCATGCGCGGCACCACGACTCGTACCGTCGCCGCAGCCCCAGTCCGGCTGGTCACCGCAGCCGCGGTCACGACAATTCGCACGACGACCGGCTCCCACTGCCTCGACGACACGGCAGTCAGATTCCTGACGTTCAATTCTTGCTACTGCAAGAAGTGAATCCGGAATTTGTTGACTGGGCGTCGCGGGCCTTTGTGGACCGTGGGCTCAAGATTGACGTTATGTTCCTCCATCCCAGCATGCCGCGGGACGCCGTGATCCAGAGACAAGTTGTCGAGGGCGTCCACGCCGTGGTGGACCTCGACATACGGGCCAATACGACTGGCAGATTCAGTTTGCGCGTCTTTGATCGTTTCGTCCAGTGGCAGCACGCGATTTTGACGAGTACCAGGAGCTCGAACCCCACGTGGCCGCCGAGCTTGTGGTACGGGCCAAAACACACGCAGCGCCCGCTCCTGCGTACCACGCGCCGCCACCGGCGCAGGCGTATGGAGGCGGAGGATACGGACAGCAGTACCCGCCTCAGCAGCAACAGCAACCACAAGCCAACGCATATCCCGGCCAACCAAGCCATCATCAGATGCCTCCTGGTCCTGCGCCGAGCGCCGCGGCGGCAGCTGGCGGATTCCCCGCCGAGCTCCTGGCGTCCCTTGGGCACCTTGACGGCGCGTCGCTGCAGCAACTTGTTGCCGCTGTGCAAAACCAACAAGGAGCGGGACCCGGCGCGGCAGTTCACGTAGGCATGCCACAGCAGGTGAATGGACCAGTCGATGTGCAGGCCGTGCTCAATAACCTCAGGGGTGGCGTGGCCGTGACACCAGGAGAAGGTCGGGCTCCGGCTTACGGTGGCGGGGGCTACCCTCCCAATGGTCCAGGTGGTCTCAACGCACCGAGCGGGCCTGGCGGGCGGCCGCAGCCGCCAGCGTCTCCGGATTCGGCGTCACAAGTCAACACGATCATGGCGCAACTGGCCAAATTCCGGCAGTGAGGGGGCATGGGTGCTCGTGTTGAAGACTTTGTGTGTACAATAGGCAGCTGCGGGAAGGCGTTTGTTCATATTAGGGTGAGTGCTCTACGGGGTGACCATGGGCAAGTTATCATGAAGCAAGTGAGAGAAGGAGGCGAGAAGGACGCCGGAGAGGGAGTGGTTCAGAAGTACAGGAGCCCAGCAGCCGTTTGAGAAGCTTTGACCATGATCACGTTGTTCTCTGATTGCTGCGCCATGTGATGGGGTTTAAGCCGTACCTACTCTTGATGTAGCTCAAGATGCCACATCCAGGAGCCGACGGTGGGCTGCCGGTGTCGTGTTGACCCTTGCGGTAACCCGTAGAAGAGGTTCCGAGCACCTGTTCCGGGCACCTGAGGCCGGTTCTGGTGGGCGTGGGGCAGGAACAGAAGCTGAGGGCCAATCACCAAGGCCAGGTTGCTCATCGGGGTCCCAGGGGTCCATGCCAATGCCACAGGGGAGCCACGCCCTTAAGAGGAAAGGCACATTTGCCTACATGGCTCCTGAGTTGGCGCACGTTGTGCACAAGACAGCACTTGGAGGCCCTTCATTGTTCCCAAGAGGACAGAGCTCGAGGTTTGGTCGTATCGAGACCCGTTTGCGCTTGCGTGTTCTTGCTACTATCGATTGCTTTGGACGTCGTACTCGGCCTCTGCTGCGCTCTAAAGTTTTGCCCCCATACCTCTCTCGCTGCTTCCCCGAAGATTCTCTGTCTCTCTCTTTCTCTCTGTCTTTCCTTCCCACTTTCTTGTCCCTGTGGCCATCTCGATGCGCTGCTGATCGCCCGTGGCCCCTCCTTCCGCATCTTGCTCGGGTACCTGCTCTTGGAATCACCGCACCTACCTCCTTAAGGCACCTTAGCTTCCTTTGCCTCCTAGGTACGGTACTTAGATACCTAAGGTAGGTACCGAAGGCAGCTACGTATCCTTTCCGAACATGGGTTGGCCCTATCGTTTCCTCACCCTCTCACCCGAGGAGGTCCAGCTTCGCCGCCAGGCATTGGACCGTTATGCCATCTACGCCCAGATGTCGGCCTTGCTGCCCATCTTCATTCCCTTGATCCAGCGAATCGTGGAACGGTACACACGCGGTCGAGAGGTCACTCGTGGCGCCTACGATGTCGTGCCTGACTCGCCATTGTTCAAGAGCCGGAAGGGCACTGTCGTTGGCCGCTGGCTGGCGAAAGCTCGAATCGTCCAATGGTGGTCGAGGGATGAGGTCATCATCAACGGGCAGTCCTGGGGTACGAGAGACCAATGGATGGTCGGTATGGCGTCGATGATCTGGATGCTGGTATTGTGCATCGCAGGTACTGGCGAAGGTACGTGAAGCTTCGTGCACACATGCATGCTCCTTTTCGAGACGGGATGCCCCCAGCTGACAGGGAACCAGACTACCTCCACTTCACCAAACGCCTGGGCACTATTGCAACGGCCCTCATGCCCTTCCAGTATCTGCTCATCCTCAAGTCCTTTAGCCCCCTGGCCTGGGTCTTCAACACGTCTCACGAGACCCTCAACCGCTGGCACCGAGTCCTCGCACGAGTCATCACAGCCCTGCTCGTTCTCCATGCCGCCTGCTACCTCAACTACTTTGCCCAGGTCGGCATCCTGCAGCGGCGTCTCTTTGCGCCCGTCGTATTCGCCGGCGTGGTGGCCTTCGCTGGTCTCAATCTCCTCAACACGACGGCCCTGCGCGCCGTGCGTGCCTGGTCGTACCGCGTGTTCTTTATCACCCATCTCGTCGTTGCCTTTGCCATCCCGCCTCTTATCTTCATCCACGCTCCCTCCGCTCGTCTGTCCGTCGGCACGGCCCTCGCGCTCTTGCTTGCCGACCTCGCCGTGCGCCGCCTTCGCACGACAACCTCCCAAGCCACGCTCGAAACCATCCCCGGCACGACCCTCGTCAAGATCATGGCCTCGATCCCTGGCCCCAAGGTCAACGCGTTCCGGGCCAAGCCGGGAGCGCACATATACCTCTCCATTCCCGCCGCCGCCCGTCCAATCGCCTCCAATGACGCCCTCCTCTACGAATTCCTCTTTAACCCGTTCACCGTTGCCGACGTCGATGACCACACGGGCGCCCTGACCCTTGTCGCCCGTCAGCGGGACGGGCCCCTGACCCGTCGCCTCGCCCAATTCGCCAGCACGGCGGCATGGGCATGCCATCATCGACAACGACGACCGTCTTCCCCGCCACCGCCACAGTGCCCCTCTCCATCGAGGGCCCCTACGGCGCCGCGTCGAGACACTTTGCCCAGATTGCCTCGCCCTGCACAGACCGCGTGCTGCTGATCGCCGGCGGCGTCGGCGCCACCTTTGCCGTGCCGCTCTACGCGCCGTGCTCGCCGATCACCCCGCCGCCAAGGTCGAGCTCGTCTGGGCGATTCGCGCCGCCGGCGACGCAACGTGGGCCGTTACGGGGCGTGGCGACAGTGTGCTCGAGGACGAGAATGTCAATATTTTTCTGACGGGCGATCTGGGCGTCGGCACTGCTGTCGGCGTCTCGGAGCCGCGGCGCGCGAGCTTCGCATCGTCGTCAGATGCGGGCGGCGCCGCCGCTGGCGACGCCGGCGAAGAGCTGAGCACCTTATACCGCGACAGGAGGCGCGCCGGCGGCGCCGGCGGACGGCGGACGAGCAGCCATAACCGTCGGAGGCCGGACTTGCGCAGGATTATCGACGAGACGTTTCGCGGCGGGGCCGACGAGAGGGTTGCTGTGCTCGTGTGCGGGCCGGCAAGCATGGCGAGA